ACGATTCCAAGTATATTTACCTTTGTCACTACTACAGTGATGATTTCTGATTTAGTTTGCAAACTTTCCTTTATATAGATAACGACTCCATCATTTCGGTTGAAGGCTGCGTTGTTATAAAATAAGTCATAACCATCTAATTTAAAATAATGCATATCATGAATAATCCAAGTCTCAGTCAAACTAATAATATCAAATTTTTCCTTACAAGAACGCAAATATACGTTTAGCTCATCAAAATTCTTATTTAGAGTCCTTATGTTTTGGTGAAAGATACTGAAATTATTTCCATCTGAAAAATTATATTCCAGAGCACTGTCCAGGACCGTCGATTCAAAAGGTGTATAGGTTATACGAGCCCCTTTCCCATTTCTATTGAAATCTTATTTTTTTTCTTATGAAACACAAATAATAAAAATGTAGCAGTGTGTTATAGGTTGAAAATATTAATAATGAATATTTTGATAATATATAGTAGAAAACACCAACTTTATCACTCCCTAATCAAATCTGCAGCATAAAAATAACACATGCTGCAATTACAGCATATCAACCTATTTTCATTTCAATGCAAAATAAGTCTATAACGCATAGGTGGCTGTGAAAAATAAAAGCCATGACAATTGTTTTCATTAATCACAGCTATCAGAATACGTTTAAAATAGTTTTGGGTAGTTAAGGTTTTCAAAATGGGTAGAGGAAAAGTTATTATTGAGAAAATTCGGTTACTGATAATTAAATTTTTCAATTCTGGTAAATCACACTCAGAAATTGCAACTTTGTTAGATTTATCGCGGTACAGTGTGAGAAATATTGTTAGAAGATATAACGTAACTGGTTCAGTTAATATTAAGCCACGATATGTGAAAAAAACTAATATCATAAATAATCGTGAAAGGCTAAAGAACATAGACAATGGACACCTCAACAATGGTGTGCAATACAATGGAGTGATGAGGCCCGATTCGAAGTTTGTGTTGGTGACAGTCGCAGTAGAGTTATGCGCAAAAAAAATTAAGCATTCCATGTTGACTGTCTGAAGAGAAAAGTGAAATTTTCAGCATCCATTATGGTCTGGGGCAGTATGTCATCAAAAGTAGTAGGAAAACTTCATTTTATTGATGGAAATGTGGATACAAACAAATATTTGGCAATTTTAGAAGAATCGCTTTTACCAGTGATGGAAGAATATTTGACATCCGGCCAAGATTTTGTATTTCAGCAAGATGGTGCGGCATGCCATACCTCAAAAAAGGCTATAAAATGGATGGAAGGAAGTAATGTACCACTTTTGAAATGGGTTTCTAGCAGACCAGATCTGTCACCTATTGAAACTTTGTGGCACGAGATGAAAAAGGTTCTACGATAACATCCTGCTCGTACAATCACCGAACTGAGACAAAAGCTTCAAGAAATATGGGATTGTTTTACACCAAATTTTTGCCAAAACTTGGTTAACACTAAGCCCCAAAGAATTTCAGCCGTAATAAAAAATAAAGGTAATCTTTCAATTGTTGCTTTGTTAACTTCGCGCATTTATTCGCAAATTGTTTATTTGTTCAGATGTTCTATTAGTTATAGGTCTAAGTGATTTCAAATATGTATTTTTTACGACTAGAGTGTATCTAAAATGTTATTGAGAAAATAAATTGTTTTAGAAGTAAATAGTTTCGTCATGTTTAGTTTATAAAGACATATTTTGGTACAAATCTTTAAGTGGGCCAACTGAAGTGGGAAGGGGCTCGTATCTCTAATATTCATTATATAAATAAAAAAGTTTTATGTTTAAAATGTAAAAGGTTCAAAACGTTATTTTTGTAAAATGTTGGTCTTGAAACTATTTGAAAGTGGGACAATATTTATAATGGTTTACATCATGAGTTGTCTTATACTTACTGATACAAGTTATACAATTGATACATTTAGAAACATTCAATTTACAAGTCACAGTGTCATGTCCATCTCCACATTATGGACAGGCTGAAACGCTCCTACATTTTCTTGCTGTATGTCCGAATTTCAAACATTTCACTATTATCGTAGACAGGCAAGCTCTGCCACCCCAGAAGTATTTTCGCATTCTTCTTTTCAAATATGTCTCTGTAGATTTCGCCGGATACTTCCGAAAATATTGTGTAACTATTGCAGTCTGTCATATGATTTATATATTATGTAATTCCATTATCGTTTTTGTCAGTGAAGTGATCTTACCGTTTCTTGTTTAATTATTTTCATATATATCATTGCACCTCTGTATCTTTTCTTAGCAACTGTTGGTCTGTGCTTTTTTCATTTTAGAAATATCTGTGTTACTAACGCACAACTTAACACATGTCGCGGACTAACTAGTTAGGGGAGAGTGGTACACAATGACACATGGTACACAATGAAACTTTCGACGCATTAAGACGTGTCGAAAATTGTCTTGTTTTTGGTGCTTAAACTTTAAAATCGTGAGTGACTTTAAAAAGGCATGTTGCTAACATTTTAATAGTTTTTGTTTCTATTTAATATGAATATAATTACTACTTTTATGTTTACCCTAACCTATAAATAATTGAAACCAATGCTACTCAGGTTAGCCATTTATAACGAATTTAAGAATGACACATCTTGGTGGTACACAATGACACACCTATCTCGCTGTTTCATTGTGTATCTAAGAGTGTCATTCTATACCAGCTTATTTTTTACTGCTTTATAATGGTGAGGAAGAAGAAAGAACGATCAAGAGCTAAATTTACAAGTCAACAAATGGCGGCAGCAGTCCAAGAAGTTAAAAATAATGGATTTTCACTTCGCATTGCTGCAGATATGTTCAACATCAACTTCTCAACGCTGAGGCGATATGTGTTAAAAGAAAGGAACAATCCCGATTCTAAAATGGAGCCAAATTGTGCTGTAAGATTAATATTTAATCCAGAGTAAGAGACCATATTGTGCGATTATCTTAAGACCTGTAGCAAGATGGCTGGAATGTGTTGATATTGCCCACTACAAATCTATGTCTCCAGAAAATATAATGAATGGGTTCAGAGGTACAGGCATCTATCCTTTTAGTAAAAATTGTTTTACTGATGGTGATTTTATATCGTCGTCTGTTATTCTGGGCACAAGAAAAGCAATAGTTGAAATACGAGATGGCACCCGTGGAAACGAAGCTTCACCTGACAGTCAAGACAACCCTTCACGTTCAAATGTTACCTTTACGTCCAGCGCTAGTTCATCTGGTACAATTCACACTTTGGATCGCAAATTAGATGAGGAAGAGGAAAACTCAATTTTTGAAACTGAATCTGTTGGTTTATATAGTAACAAACAAACAGAAACTGAATTAACTATGAATAAGAAAAACTTATCTGTATTGAAAGGTCATTTTGTTACTCCATTTGAGATGCGAGGATTTCCAAAAGGTGCACCTAGAAAGAATTTAAATAGGAAACGAAAAACAGAGAAGAGCATTATTTTAACTAGCATACCAGAAATGAGAAATCTTCCTTATAAAACAGAAGAAAGAAAAACCCCAAACACGACTGCAGTTGAGAAGGTAAAAAGACATATATCAGCGAGTTTAAACAGAAATGATAAAACAAAGAAAAGAAAAATAAAGGAATAGATCTTAAATGAAACAGATTCAGAATCAGAAGATAATAATTTGGAGTTGAAGGACTCTTCCGACGAGGAATTATCATTAGAAGACCTTAAATGTAGCATGATACAGGAACAGAAAAATAACTTGGAATCTGATGAAATTACTGAAAGCACTTATATTTTGAAAGATTCTTTCGTCTTGGTGAAATTTGAAAATAATACTCATTATGTTGCCAAAATTTTAGATGTTGTAAACTCAGAAGAATTCAAAGTTTCATATCTAAGAAGGAGCGGCAAAGTTTTAAATCCATTTTATTTTCCCGATATTCCTGATATTAATATGGGGTTGAAATCCGATTTTGTTATATTATTACAAGAACCCATGAAAACCAGCAACAAAAGACTTTCTTCTTATTATAGATTTGGGTTAGAATTTAATATAATTATAAGATGACCTATAAAAAATAAATATTGTTTGATTCTGACAGATTTGTAATAATTTTCAACGTGTTTTATTATGTATTACCATATGTTTCAAACTGTACCACTGGTGGTACACATTGATACAAATGCAGCCCAAAGAAATTTTCAATTTCTTTCTTTAGTTTCTTTAATTTTCTTATTATTACATATTGGACCTTATTTGCAATTGAGTAAGGTAAAAGACACACGGAATGATTTTTTTAAAAAACAAGTCATCAAGGTTTGTCCGTGGATTCTTCAGAAATTGTGTCATTGTGTACCACTCTCCCCTAAGTGTAATAGAAGCAAATGCCAAACTTCGGCAATCAGTCTGCTATAATTTTGTAATTATTATTATTATTATTCTAGATTTGTCACGAAGACGGTGAACCGGTCTTCGGTGTAATCCAAAACTATGCTTGTCGTCAAAGCGACTTAACACTTTGCGGAGAATGTGCGAGGTGCTAAGGGCTACTTTCTGGATTTATTATTATCTTTTCTATTATTATTATCATTATTGTTATATAATTTCATGCTTTTGTCGAGAGGTTCCGATCTAAGATGATTACACTTTCTCTAGCATGTTATCTTGAATCTTGCGCTGCACCCCGCTATCAAAAAATCCCATCACGTATTACATATTTTATTTCACCATATTTCGCCGACATCTTATAACGGAGCTTTTGAAATAACCGCGCATAGTGTGCGTTGATAGAATAAGACGTTTGAACACCCTATCTATATGTCAACCTTCATTTGATACCACATCAACCAAAGGTTACAAATGAAGATCCCAGTTATCCCACCATCTTCCGCATTTGAAAAAACGACTACATCCATTGTATTTTACCTGCCCTCTTGGAAAAGTCACACCCTTATAATCGAGAACGAAGGAAATAACGATCTCCATAACAGCCCTCTTGGAAGTAGATCCGTCCCAAACTAACTTTTTTTGTCGTACGAGTGCCTCCTTCACTGGCTATTATTGTCGATTTTCCTTCTACACCGCAGAATCTAGATGTACTGTCGGATGTGAGGCTTTCTCTTGATAACCAAGTCGCCCACGGCTCGGGCCACCTTTGGATACACCAAAAAATGTGAGTGAATTGCTAGATAGAGACACGCAGTGCTTCAGTAGGATTTGGATGCAAAACAAACACTCGGAGAATTTCAGTCAACAATAGTCAATATGTAAAGATCTAAGAGAGAGTTAATTAATATATTTTATCTGCTCAGATGAGAGTTTTTTGTATTAGAAAGTGGTGATCCTTCATCGAAATCGGCTACAAAACAGCTTCAAGACATAAAAAGAACTTACCGCTGAAGAGGTTAAAATCCCATAGAGATGGAGACAGTAGCACTCAAACAACAACCAAAACTAACAGCTGAACGTAAGGTAGGTACAAAGAAAAGGACGCTACTCCATAGGCTGGTGATTGGGGATCCATATCCCAAAATCTGGAAACTAAACGAAGCACCAAAACACCTTAACCAAAACTTCAACAAGAAAAATGGCAGGTACTCAGTTGACTGTCAATCAATGTCAAAGTAGAAGGGCGCTAGTTGCCTATAGGCGGACCCTAGGAGCTTTACCGAGGGACCAACGATATTTCATGAGGAAATTTCGATGTAAATAAAATATTATAACATTAGTGTCCAAAAGATTTCAACACAATACAGAGTCGCTAAGAAAGAAGTATATACAATGCGTCAATCAATATTTGAGACTGGGACTATAAAATGAGATACAAACGACATGTTTTCTTACATATCTTTTTATTTATTCAATATTATCTCCCCTTGCTTTAGTACACTTGTTACATCGATTTACAAGTGATTCAAATGCCTGATCCAACTAATTTTGTGGTACTGCCTCTAGGAACTGTTGGGATCGTCGAAATATCTTCGAAAATGCATCCTTTCAGCTTTAGTTTCAGTTTAGGAAATAAATAAAAGTCGCACGGAACCAAATCAGGTGAATATGTTGGATGATTAGGCACACAAACTCTATTTCGGGTCAAAAATTGTCGAACAATTAGGGAATTGTGAGATGGCGCGTTATCGTACAACAACGACCAGCTGTCTAGATCTTGATATTCGGGACAGATGCGACAGATTCTAGCCATCAAACGCTTTCAAGCTTGGAGATAATAGTTGCCAGTAAATGTTTGATCAGATGGAACAAATTTCTTGTAGATAATTCCTTTACTATCGATGAAGGTGACTAAAATTGTCTTGATCTTTGAAGACACTTTTAGCGTTTTTCTGGTTGTGTGGTCGTACTGAAAGCATCATGTTTCATCACCCGTAATAATCGATTTCATAAAGTTTGGATCATTCTCTGGAATCGGCAACTCTAATTTTTTTTGTGCGTCCGTCAAACTGTGTGGAACAAATTTAGCACAGACTGTATTGTGCAAATCCTCGTGAAGAATGGTCCGAATCGTCCCTCGGTTGATGTTCTGCGCCTCTTCCATCATTTTCAGTGAAGCATTTGCAACAAAATCGCGTTATTTTTCAATCATTTCTGGTTTTCGAATTGAAATTGGACTTCCCGTATGTCCGTCATCTTCTAGCGGATCTCTACGATTTAAAAATCGTTTGTGCCACACGAAAACAATTGATCGACTTAAAGAAGTGTCGCCATATACTTGCTGCATCAACCGGGATGTTTCGGCTGCACTTTTATCAAGCTTTGCGTTGAATCTAATGACAGCTCTTTGTTCCATGATGAAATTTCAACATCCATTACAAAACTAGATTAGGAAGCACCATCACAACTTAGTCGTTTTTCATCCGATGTTCATGATGTTGGAAAGAAGAAGAGTGTACATTTGCAACGCAACTGAATTTTAACAGATGGCGCCACTCATGGCAACATTTATTTGTCGCACTGTAATACGTCTGAAACTATAATTTCAGGATTAAGTCATTTCAAGCTCAATAAATTTTGAAATTTGCCAAAAGAAAATCATTAAGAGAAAATCAAATTAGTGGTAAGTGGTCAAAATAGTAAAAAAAAGGTTATTTGATTTTGGCAGGTTGCAGTGTCGCAAAAGGTTGTAAGTTTAAACAAACTGTAACTAAAAATATTTCTGATTTTCTTTCAGTAGAACGAACCGTTCACAAGATCAAACTACACATTACTTCATAAGTAACTATGAACTTAAGGATTGATTAAATCACTTTTTTGCAGACGTCGGCCACTCCAAAATTTGTCTCCAAAAGTACTAGCCATCTTTTTGTTCTTCCACATATGAAAATCTTTCTTCATGTGCACTATTTTATAACATCTTTCCCGCGCGAGAACAGGGAGTTATTGAAAGACTATCTTGCACTATTAATACTGACCTTACACGAATAATGACAATTAGAGACTGATCATTGAAGCATAGAAAGTTGTCACTACATTACTAACTAGAAATTCACTCCCGACATTACACTTATTATCGAAGGAATATCCAGACTAGTCTACTTAAAGAAAATTTGTTGTATTAATATAACTCTACTTGGATTAAAACCCAAGCACAAGTGTACACTTTTTTGGGTATATTATGTTTATTGGACACTGCCGTTATTATTTATATGAAAACTTTGTAATTAGATCAATAAACGCTATTATTATTAATATTATTATGATTATTATTATTATTATTATCTTAAAATTGTTTCAGAATTAGAGTTATCGGGTGGTATTGACATCGGGTGCATTTCCATGCACGGATGACAAAATTTCTAATGTAAAAACGTTCTGAGATAATAATATTTTATGTTGTTTAAAGGCATACCAAGACTGATTTCATGCCAAAAATCTTATTAATTATGAAGTTTTGATATTGGTTTTGTACTTTGTGTTTTGCAAATCGTTGGAGGTGAATATCAGTCTTTTTGGTTTGAATTTTAATGTTAAAGGGTCCATGATTTTCACTATTTAAACTTACATTCAGCAACCAGTTCTAGATAATAGCGATAAAACGGCAAAGAAAATAACTTTCCCTATATAATTTATTTTATCTGCGAAAACTGCTCCAAAAGGTAAAGCTATTCTCAAAAAATAAGAAAATAGTTTTAGCTCTGCCATGATTTCACACATTTTGTAATAGTGGCAGGCACTAACTTCATTAATTCCAAGTCTTATTTTTGTTTTACTGCGCCTGCTGAGATGTTAAATATGGCCAGAAATTATTAGTGCTTGGCTTTGTTGGATGTACAATAATTCCCTAATTTGAGCTATAATAACGTAAGTTATGGGCTAAAGCTGTGTCTGTGCACAGGTATCGTATATGAATCAAAAAGCATCTCTATTAAAATATTTGTAGAAAAATAAGTAGTTGCCAAGTTTTGAGAGACTTCATGTATTCTTCAGACGTTACAGCTTGACATATACTGGCCAGACCTTATATAAAAATTGACAGAGTCTGTACCAACTACGAACCTGCCTTCAAAAATTAAGGTTGCTGTTTGAATTTACTAAGTTGACCTCCAAGTGTATACCACAAAAAAGGTAATAAGGTATGATGCTTCCCAAATTACTACAACTATAAGTCTTGAAAGAGAGTCTAGATAGTGAAGCTTTCAGATAGATTCTAAAGGCCTATTATCTGGCTTCCAATTGCTATGTTATTTATTATGAATTAAACTTCATAATCTACCGTTTCAAATCGATTTTATAACTTTCTTTCTAATAAGTCGAATAAAACAGGAGCAGCGGCCAAATTTTACAACTTTGCATTTCCAGAGGGGTTAATGGAGCTGTGCATTATAATTAATATATGCGGGCTAATTACGATACAGTGCAATTTGGCTTGCTGGTATAGCTTTCCAAGGACAGCACTTTGGGATTTATCGAATTAATTATAGATTACGAGTTGGCATTCACCGCATGTACAATTAATGTCGGATTGTTTGTTCAGGTCAATATAGCTAAGCAAGTTAGGTAAGAATAAACGTGCAACATAAAGGATTGGCTTTGAATTTGTCATAAACATTAACGAAATGCCAATCGATTTTGAGTAATTAAATTTGTCTAGTACAAAGACTAGTGAGACATGGCGGCTAGGATGAATTAGAGGTGTTTTTTTATACTCCAACTACCACGAAGGCCTAAGGCCTAAGCACCCATTGGGTACCGTGGGGCTATAGGGGGATACATGGGAAAGGGGGGACGCCACACGGACTCTGGCGAGGGAACACGTGTGCATGCAACATGCACACATTCTGGCTCCGCCTACGAGAACCGCCGGGTGGTACCTCCGCGTTCGAAAGTCAGAGACCATCTATCACCTACGGACAATCACAACATCCATAGCAAAGAGAAAAATTTCTCCACAGCGCACGGCGACTGATCAGGAGACCGAAGAGTCTACTACTGCGGCCACCGCTGCTGCCTAAAACAAACACACAACATCCATGGCGAAGGCGAGATTCGAACTCGCGGCCCGGCCGGCCGGTTGATCAGTAACACGACACTCTGACCCACGCGGCCAACCGAGGTCCCGAGGTGTTGAAAAAGTAACTATTCATTACTCGAGTACTCGTTAACGACACCCTAAGTAACGAGTATCAATCTGAGCACGAAATGATTACTTTGATCACTGTGATTACTTCGATTATTTTGATTACTGTGACTACTTCAATTGCTTCGTTCGCTTCGATCACTTCGATTACTTCGATTATTCTGTTTTCGATATTCGCACTCGATTCGCGTACAATCGTCAATAGGTGAGTGGCAACGCTGGTGTCTGCGATCCTAGGCATCACTGTAGCACTTCCGCTCATGCATGAGGGTTGCCAGACATATCACATTCGCGTGGAAACCTGGAAACTCCAAATTTAAAAGCAAGTATACACGGCCACTTCGTATAAAAATAATGATGGTAAAGTTGAAATCTCAAGACGTTTTTTACGTTTCTTACGAGAACGCCTGCTACTGACTTCGATTATACATCTAACCACTCTTTTCTGTGCCAGAAAGAATTGCTGGATATTCGTGGGCATACCTCAGTCGTGACTCAACTTCAGCAAAGCAAACAGAAATTACCTGTGTCCCAGTAAGAGCCGTTCGCAAATTTTTCACAATACATGAATGCTTGCATGTCAAGGGTCATCCTTGAGCCATTAAAAGGGATATATAATGCCATAGGTTTTTTCTGGATATTATGAAAGTGGACAACTTATTTTTTTCGTAATTTAAGTAGAGCTGATTGCTGCTAAACCACTTGTGATTCTTTTACTGTAAAACTGCACAATCTCTCTCTAAGGTAGCCTCACATTTATTGGATCTCATCAATACCTTCAGAGGAAGAGTAGTCCTGGTTATAGACTGAACAGCACAGGTCCTAGAATATAGCCCTAAGGCACGCCTATGGTGATGTTAGCCATGTCGGACGTAATAGGCGCAGATCAGTATCGAGGGTACTCACAAATTGATTTCAATTTTCTAAAAAAGACCTTATCCAATGATATGGTGCACCATTTATGTCATACTTTGATATTTTCTGCAGCAGCACTTTATGACTGATGCAGTCAAATCTCCTGCTGAGTTGCGTAGAAGCTATGAGTTGCTGTTGCCTTGGATTTTCCATTTCGAAGACCGTGTTGGTTCTCTGTTAAAATAGTATTATTTTCCAAAAACAAAAACAGACTTTCCAGATAATAGTACTCGAGTAATTTTGGAGTAGTAGATGGTCTGTAATTACTCAGCTCAGTGGGATCTACTATTTTTTGTATACTGGAATGATATCCGATTATTTAATGGTGTGAGTCTATATGAAAAATTAATGTTGGTTTGCTTTATAAACTATGGTCCAAAAATGTTTCCTTACAAAACCTCGGGCGGTTGAAGTTTTACGAAAGAAATGGAAATTAATTAATATGTTTAGAACCGCTTCAGATATTTCACTGATATTTAGTACGTAGTTAAAGTTAATAAACTTGCATATTTTTCAATGCAAAAATAATTTTCAGCTCTAACAGTGGCGTCCGTACGGGTATTGACTGAAAAAATGGTACGCCAATGGTTTTTTGCCAAGTAAGAATTATTTTTGAGTTCCCCGTTCAATTTAAAGCAAATAATCTCTCTTGAATTGTTTTCCTTCCATGCGCTATTTTTGAGTAAAGAAATAAAAACCGTTCTATTGTCCGAGAAAATTAATATAAAAATTGAATAATGCAATTTAGCAATAAATATCTAGTTGCTCTGGAATATGTCACTGGCTTTTGACATCTGACAAGTCTCTGCTATCCATATAGTCTGTGACATCTTTTTCATTATTTAGTTTTTACAATCTTGTTAATAATTATTCAAATGCATAAATGGCGGAAATGCATTACGTCTATGGTCTTGTCTGCGGTAATGGTGAACAAGCCAGATGGATTTATCACCAGAGATATCCCGATCGTGCTTTGCCAGATAGTCGAACCTTTTCTAATATTCATTGTCGTCTTGTTGAAACTGGTTCTGTCTGAAGAGGAACATCTGAAGGTAGACCTCTAAGTGTGAGAACATCTGAAATTGAGGAAGCAGAGCTGCACGAAGTCGAAGAACATCCTCAAACGAGTACGAGGAAGATCGCTAGATACTTAAATATTTGCCATCAAATTGTATGGAGAATTTTAGTGGATTTTTTGTTATATCCTTACATATCTTAAGGGTACAGACATTACTTCTCATTGATTTTTCAAGGCGTGTGACCTATTGTCAATTGTATCTTCAAAAAAATACACAAAATCCGCAACTTGAATAAATGATTCTTTTCACGGACGAAGCTAATTTTTCTCGAAATGCCATTTAGAATTTCCACAATAATCGTTTGTGGGCAGAAGAAAATCCCTATGCCGTAACTGAAACCCATTTCCAACACCAATTTTCGGTTAACGTATGGGCAGGAATTATTGGCAACCACTTTATTGGCCCATTCTTCTTGACGGGTCGACTTGATGGACAGACTTACCTCAATTTTCTTCAACAACAGTTGCCTTTGCTGCTTGATGATGTTCCGTTAGTAATAAGAAACAATATGTGGTATATGCATGATGGTGCACCAGCGCATTTTAGTGTAGCGGTTCGTGGTTATTTACAAACTGTTTATCCAAATCGTGTTCTCCAAGAATGGCCACCAAGGTCGCCAGACCTCAACAGTTTAGATTTATTTTTGTGGGGCTATCTTAAGACACTAGTGTACACAGGTCCCATTAATACTGTAGAGGAATTAAGAGAAAGAATAGTTGCAGTATGTGATAGTACAGGGTGGCGCAGAGGAAACGCATGTTTTCTGACCGAATGGTATTTCGCACAGAATAGGGATATGACCTCGCCGCACCGCCAGCAGAGAACACATGCGATGCGATGCAGTTTCAGCCATGGCACCGTGGATGACGGAGCATCGTGTGTTTGCCGTCGAGCAATTTTTTCGAAACGATGATTCTGTAGTGATCGTGCAACGTTTATTCCATCGACAGTTCAATGTTGAACGCCACGGGCCAATTCCAGATCGAAACACAATACTCCGATGGGTTGAAGTATTTCGAAGTACTGGATCCGTAATGAAGAGGAAGCCACCTGGCCTTCCCCGTACCGTGCGGACTCCAGGCAATATCGAAACAGTGAGAAGAGCGGTCCTTGATAGTCCCCAACGGTCCACTAGGCGCCAAGCTCCAACTCTGCGTATGTCCCGTCGGGCGTTACAACGCATTCTGCATGACGATTTACAATATCGTCCGTACAAGATAATGATCGTGCAAGAGCTAACGGAAAGCGATTTTGCACAGCGTAGAGAATTTTGTGCGAGAATGCGGGCCATTTTTGCTGACGATCCTAACGTCGTCATAATGATGAGTGACGAAGCACACTTCCATTTAATAGGATATGTAAACAAGCCGAACTGTAGGTATTGGGCGGCCGAAAATCCACGAGAGCTACACCAACGACCCTTGCATAGTCAAAAATTAACTGTGTGGTGCGGAATCAGTAAATTAGGTATCGTTGGTCCTTACTTTGTTGAAGAGGAAGAAAGAGCAGTAACAGTTACTTCAGCACGTTATGTTCACATGTTACAAAATTTTCTGTTACCCGAACTTCAACGGCAACAAGTAAACATGGGAGAGCTGTGGTTCCAACAAGACGGTGCCACAGCTCACACAGCGAGAGCATCAATGGAATGGATTCGACAGATATTTCCTGAACATGTGATTTCCCGTTTCGGCGATGTCCCTTGGCCCCCACGCTCCCCAGATTTGTCCGCATGCGACTTCTTTTTGTGGGGTTACCTTAAGGATAAAGTGTACCCTCACAAGCCTCGTACGTTACAGGAACTGAAAATTGCTATTCGTCAAGAAATTGCAAGAATACCACAAGAAATGATTTTACGTGTAATGCACAACTTTCAAGAGCGGTTGGAGATGTGCGAGCGCGAAGCAGGGCGACACTTGAGTGACGTTATTTACCATCATTAGTTTAAAAGTGCACTATCATTACTTTATTTAGCTGTAACTACATGTTATCTTGAAAATAGAAAATGTTATGCTTAGGTGAAAATCGTGCGTTTCCTCTGCGCCACCCTGTATAAAGAACACTCCAGGGATATTTCAACGAGTGCGCAATTCCATGAGAAGGAACGGCGGAAGCATGCATACTAAGTGAAGGGGGCCAGTTTCATCAATTTTTGTAATCATTTCGTTGGTTTTAATGTTGTGTTTATGTTGTCAGTTGTTGTTGTTCATTACCCCAAATGTGTTTAATTTTTCCAATTAAATTAATAATAATTTTGCAAGAAGGTTTTTATTCTTTTACTCAAAAATGGAGTATCGAAGGAAAACAATTTAAGAGAGATCATTTGTTTTAAATTGAACGGGGAATTAAAAAATAATTTGTACTTTACTTACGCAAAAAACTATTGGCGTACCATCTTATCGTAAAAAAATATCAATGTCAATACCCGTACGCACGCCACTGTTAAAGCTTAACATTGTTTTTGTATTGAAAAATATACAACTTTATTATTTTGGAGTGACGAACGAAAACAATTTAAGAGAGATCATATGTTTTAAATTGAACGGGGAATTAAAAAATAATTTGTACTTTACTTACGCAAAAAACTATTGGCGGACCATCTTTTCCTAAAAAGATATCAATGTCAATACCCGTACGCACGCCACTCCACTGTTAAAGCTTAACATTGTTTTTGCATTGAAAAATATACAACTTTATTATTTTCCACTACGTACCAAATATCAGTGAAATATCTGAAGCGGTTCTGAAAATATTAATTAATTTCCATTTTTTTCCTAAAACTTCAACACCCGGAGTCTTTGTAAGGAAACATTTTTGGATCATAGTTTATAAAGCTAACTAATATTAATTTTCCATGTAGATTGATACCCTTAAATATTCGCAAATCATTAAGGACCACCCTGTATACATATATTTGTAATCTGCAATCGACTGCGACTATGATTGTTCGATTATCTATGTATATTATAAAATTTTGTTACAGACCGACGTTTGTAAGTACTGTATCTACACTAATAACAAGTACTGTATTATATCGTAAAAGCAATAAACTACTTTTTAAAAACTAGGCTGCTATGGCACGACTCCTTACGCAAACCGTTAACAATATCTTCTTGTGACACATCACGACACTGCTCAATGCCACGTGGCACGAATGTTTGTATTACGGGCATGTGCGATAACTCCTTGTTACATGATATCCGTGCAAGCTCACCTTCGTTTTACTCCTTCAAAGGAACTCCAACAAAACCAGTATGCATCACATTAATCAAATAATTAGTTTACAAAGTTCTAGTAAAATATCATGGTGGTTGAAGCCGTATGCTACGACGTACTCCATATCAAATATTCCCTTTCTAGCGAAGAATCCCTGCAAGCCTGAAATTTATAATTCGAAAGCTGATGCGGACGACTGACGTCTGCTAGACAAAAGTTTCCGAGATAGTTATAATGTTCCTTAATATCTTGTTCGCAAGCCCTTCTTCGTCGAGTGTAGACAGCTCAGCCGATGGCACGGTATCAGCTGGGACCGTCTATAGATACAATATACAGGGTTTGTCCGGAAAGTAATAGGACTCATTTTCTTCCGCCATGACCGTACTTCGGAGCGTGCGCGCACCGACTGGATTCAGTAGAGGGCGTTCCTAGCTAACGAATGAGCAGAGGTACGCGATTAAATCCTGTGTGAAACTCGGTAAATCTGCGACAGAGACGTTTGATATGATCAAGCAGGCTTACCCAGGTGTTGCTTTAGCAAGAAGTGGAGTGTTTTGGTGGCACCAGGCCTTTTTGGAGGGCCGGGAAGAAGTCACTGATGAAGACCGTGTTGGAAGACCTTCGACTTCGACAAACACCGATAATGTGACTCGTGTGCGCAAAGTTTTGAACTCATACCGTCGACTAAGTATTAGTTTAATTGCCCAGATGTTAAATTTACCAAAATCTGGGTCCGCCAAGACATCGCAGCCGATTGGAAGTTGCACTACGACAACGCCCCGGCTCACACCGCCTTTCTTGTGATCAGCTACCTGACCAAGGCCGGCATCCCAACGCATCCGTAGCCGCCCTACAGCCCAGATGTGGCCGGGGGGGCAC